CTGCCTCCCGAGTGCTGGGATTAAAGGCGTGCGCCACCACCGCCCAGCCAAGAAGCTCAAATTTTTACACTAGACCTATTTATTAATCCTGGACCAAGCATTCTAACTAAGCACCCAGGATACAGCAGTGAGCAGAGGTGTGGAGATGGAGGCATGAGTCAGATGTCAGGCTGCAGAAAAGGAAACATCCAATGAGATGAGAAAATCCAGTGGGAGCCAAGAAAACCTAGAGGAGCCCCTTTGGACTCCACAGTACAGCTTAAGCATCTGCCTGGGTGACCAGTGGTTCCTGCTGGAGCAATCGGGGTTCCCGGAAGTTCTCAGCATGTCCTCATTGAAGACATTGTACCACCTAAGTACTGACCCCTGAATTTGGTAAAAGAAAGGCATACCCTTCAGTCAAGTCCAAAGGTCCCCTGACCAGTTCTGCACAGATGTGTGAGGAATGCTGGGCAATATAATGGCTGCTTCAAAATCTGTTAAAATTAGCAATTTAGGTATGAATAGTAGGATCAGCATGCTGGAGAGGGGTTTTGTGAATTAGAATGTTGGGTATGGGTATGGTGGCCCAACCTGTAAGTTTAGGGGGCTGACTACTCTTACAGAGGTTATGAGTTCAATTCCCAGCAACCATATGGTGCCTCACAACCACTTGTAATGAGATCTGTAAAGTGCCCTCTTCTGGCCTGCAAGGACACATGCTACCAACAGTGACAGTTCAGCAGAATGAGACAGATAAGTGGTCAGTTCCGTCATCTGATGGAACATTTTAAGGAGAAAGCCCCAGCTGCTAGCTCACTAAGGTCCACACTCTCTGCTTGCAATAGTAAAATCCTGAGTTTTACCTGGGCATAGGCTAAAACGCTACTGTGCCTCATCAAATGGAGGGAAAGCGTCCAGTTAGGTTTGAGGGCTTTCACTACTATAGAGTGGACCACTGTTTGACAAAACCTTAGTGGTGTTAGGGGAATGGAAGGATTGACTGCTGGGCAGTGTCCTGTAAGAGAGGCATTCCAGCCGGATCTAGCTAGCCTGCTGAAGTAATCTTACTGTCTAGTTAGATAGCAGTAAGGTGATTATTAAGGGCTGTATTACATTGCAAATCTGTCAGAAACAAGGCTGGGTAAAACCCGACTATAGGAACACAGGTCTCGTATGTAGTCCCTGGTGGGAGTAGAGATTGGTAGTTTGGCATTATTTAGCAACACAAGTATCTACTTTTTTTCTTTTTTCTTTTTTTTTTTTGTGAAGTGTGTACATTTGTTTCAGGGTGTCAGATCCCCTGAAACTGGAGTTACAGTTGTGAACTGCCATGTGGGTGCTGGCAATTGGACCTCAGTCCTCTGGAAAAAACAGCTGGACCATTTTTCCAGCCCCTGAAATATAAGTTCTTAACAAAATCTTAACTTAGGGTTTAGGCAAAGAATATACATTTATTATGTATAGTGTTCTGTGTGCATGTATGTATGCAGGCCAGAAGAGGGCGCCAGATTTCATTACAGATGGTTGTGAGCCACCATGTGGTTGCTGAGAATTGAAATCAAGACCTCTGTAACAGCTGCCAGTGCTCTTAACCCATGAGCCATCTCTCCAGCCCCCTAGAAAATACTTTTTAAAAATGGACAAGGATACATGAGACAGCAAAAGAGATGGGATGATGCAATCTGAAGAGAAACCAGTGTACCAAAGACAGTAAATACCCGCTTAGAATGTAAGAAAGGCTCCCATCCTGCCTGCCTCATCTCATGATGCTGCTGCCCCAGAGGAGGACTGTTCCCTCCTTTTCATGACTATAGCCTTGTGATTGTCTTTACTAATAAGCTATGGTGGAAGTGAGGCTACATGACTTAAGAATATAGACACACTGTCCACCTTGGTCTGGACTTTCTGGGACATTTCTTGACGCCATTGTTTTCACAGATTGGAAGGAAGCCTAAGTAGTTGAGAGCCACATACCGATGTCCCCAGTCTACAGCCACATCCCTGCTCAACAGACAGGAAACAGTATTGAGTTGCTGGCCAAGACAGCAAACTATTAAAGGTGTACTGTCCAGTCTCAATTTGAGCCATGCTGGCAGATGCCACAAGTCACAGATACAAGTCATTCCTGTCAAATTCTCTCATGAGCACAAGAAGGGGCCTACTGTGGTTTTCATTAAATAAGACAATGGGAAAGTCCTAGAGATGTTTTCTTTATTGAGAAACAAGGCATGGATGCTTATCAACACTTTCTGTCACAGCAATAAACTTCAGCAGGGAATGGAATCAGCAAGAGCAGCTAATTCCATATTCAACATGTTGCCAACCAACTGCTGCCCTTAGAGTTTACAATAAAGCATTTCTCCATGGTATTACAGCTTTTAGAGCGAGCTAGTAAGTGGCTATAAATAGCTTACTTAGCTTCCTAATTTTAACATTTTACAAGGTGGTTGTGATAAACATGGATAAAATGAACATCCTTGTACTTAACAGCATTAAAATGGGCGACTTCTTTTAGTAAAGATTTATTATGTATACAGTGTTCTGCTTGCATGTATACCTGCAGGCCAGAAGAGGGCAACAGATATCACTACAGATGGCTGTGATGCACCATGTGGGTTGCTGGGAATTGAACTCTGGACCTCTAGAGAACAGCCAGTGCTCTTAATGGCTGAGCCATCTCCAACCCAAACATGGAATGTTTTAAGACATTAAAATTTTGCATCAAGTCTCCAGGTTCCACCTGACCACTGCCCATAATCACCAGGGGTCTGAGTATTTTTGTATCATCTGCTTCTGTTCCTATTAGGTGAATGAATGGCAAGTGCCATTTCATACAACACAAACAGAAGCAAAATGCAAGGTGCTTCCTTCAGGAACTGGAAGGCAGCCGTAACTAGAGAGCCAAAAGAAACCCAGGCTGACCTGGTGGCCACGCCTGCCACCAGCTGTCCCATTCACTACTCAGGTCAAGGCCTGTGAGAGCTAGCTGTATTTTTTGTTGTTTTGTTTTGTTTTGTTTTGTTTAGTCTATGTGATGGGAAAGTGTAGAGCTTATCTGAGGTCTGGCTGGAGTAGTCTGTGAGGCTAGACCATCTGAGATAGCAGTTTTGATGTTCCGGATACAGAATTTTGAGGAAACTAACAGGCACTTTGAGAGGCTGGATCACCTGGGCTACTTGTCTATCCATGCCGTATGAAAGGATGGTATGTAATAAATCAACTCTGAAGCTAACAAGGTTTATCATGTCTCATCTATTCTCAGAGTTGTTCCTATGCAGAGGGGTCAGCATATAAGTCACCTGTCCTGTAGTCTTTTTTGGCTTTTTTTCCACATCTCTAGACAAGATCTTTGGGAGGTCTCCCCCGATCAATTCTGGTCTATTAATTTTGAAGGAATCCACAGCTTTTTGTTTTCTGTGGAAACAAACCTCTCCCCCAACACAAGACATTTTCTGGCTTCCATTCTAAAGTTAAGATATCCCTAAAAGTATGTGGTCTGGTTTGATTTGGCAGTTTCTCCCACAATAAAATGTCTCTCAGCAGTTGGTGTTTTCTGTTCATTACCATTCAAAAAAATTAACAAAACACCACATAAGGCCCAAACTCCCTGTGTTATGGTACTTCCCATCCTTATGTGACTTATCCTTTTTATATTACTTTACTCTTTCTTCATAAAGACTCCACTTTATTATTTTAGAACTATTTTTCCATGACTGTTCATACCCATTTTCTTTTCTTTCTTCAGCATCTAAGCACATTTTTAAACTTACTGTACCTGTTTAGAGGTTTAATCAGTCTGGACCTGACTTTTTGTCTATCTGCAGCCTTTTCTGACCATGAGCCAAACCTTTCACTGCTAAGCGGTGGCCAGGCCCTCTGCTATGTGGCTCTGTTTAGCATGTGGCTGCCCACTTCGGGTCAGTGAGAAAGGCGCCTCATGCCTGTGGCCCTGGCCTGGAGCCGGTCTGTCTGCCCCAGCTCCTGTAGGCACTTCTTCCTAGTCTCCCACCACCAAGTAGTGCACCACCTGCTGCTCATAAACTCCCTCCAAGTGCTTGGTAACCATGCCTGTGCAGGCTGTAAGCACTGAGCCTACTTGGAACCCTTTTTTTTTTTTTTTTTAAGCTTTCTCAGGCCTTATGTGGATTTATATGACATGCATTGGGAACAAATGTAACAGGTCTTTCTATGTCCCTTCAGCTCCCAAATAATGGCACAGAGACTTATTTATTATTAAAGCTTGGCCTATACCTTAGGCTAGTTCTTATAACTTAACCCATTTATATTAATCTACATTCTGCCACATGTCTCATGGCTGCTGTTACCTCTCTTCCTGCACATCCTGCTTGCTCTGCATCTCCTGGCAAGTCCACCTTTCATCTTCCCAGAGTCCTCTCTGTCCCTGGAAGTCCCACCTATACCTGCTGCCTAGCTATTGGCCATTCAGCTCTTTATCACCAATCACAGCAACATATCTTCACACAGTGTACAAATATTCCGCAGCAGTGCAGTAATGTTCTGTCTACCCATATTCCTAAGATTTAGCTAATAGACTGTGACCATAATGGTCAAGCTGCTCCTGTTAGGACTGCACATAACAATTAACTCTGAGGGGGAAGAAATGAGAAAATAATGGGTAGAAGGTAGTGGGAAAGGAATAAAGGCAAATTTTGTTTTGTTTTTTGTTGTTTTTTTTTTTTTTTTTTTTTTTTTTTTTGGTTTTTCTGTGTAGCTTTTTGCCTTTCCTGGAACTCACTTGGTAGCCCAGGCTGGCCTTGAACTCACAGAGATCTATCTTTTCTGGAGGACACTGACTTAACAGGAAGGAAGTCCCTGGGGCAGTCCTTCCTGCCTTTCACACTTTTTAGCACAGGGTAGACCTCAGACTACCTCAAGCAGGGCAGCTAAAATCTGGGTAGAATGCGATGACTCTCTAGTGCAAAGAACCAGAATGAACTGAGGATGAGCGACGATCAACTGCAAACCCCACTGCCAGGAGCAAGTACATTGCTTAGCCATGTGTTCCCAGATTTTGTATTTCAATTAGGCAAACAGCAACGGCTGTTTAACATGGTGCTGTAATTGAAGAGAGATCACCACTTGGGAAATGGCCAAAATACATGAAAGATAGAGAACTAAGAAAAGCTGCTGCTGATTTTGACTCTGGACCCTTCACGGCTTCTACCGTAGGATCTACCCAAGGTTCAAGGAGAAAGGACACCACTTTAACATGTCAGCCCCAGGGCACAGCTTGGGGTGGGCACACACAGCTGCCAGCCTTTCTCCTTGTTTCTCAGAAACACAGCAGCACCGTGACTGTCCGAGCTCACTTCCTCTTGTCCCTTCTCTGAGCTTGGGATTGTCCAGTAAAACAAGAACTGTCTGTCCATGGGTGATGGTCCCATAAATACGGAGCAGAGAGACTTCAAATGTAGGAAATCGTAAGGCCCAAGTCATTGGTGGCTAAAGTAAAAAATGTGTAAGAACAAAACAGTTTAGTTCTATGAGTTGCTCATAAACACGGAACTGTGGATTTCTGTTCACATACCCTTCGCCAGGATGAAGAGCCAGTACTGGGAGAGGAAGGGCAGGGAGCTGTGGGCTGAGTCCTTGTCTAGGAATTCACTTCCTGAAGAAAGGCGGTGCCAGGCAAAGGCTGCTGAGGGGCCTGGACGGATTCTCTTCAGGGCATGAGTTCTGGGCCTTTTCCACGTAGAAAGCAAACCAGGAGCAGCACTGTGGGGACCGAACTCTTGAAAACCTGACCATCTCTCTCATTAATTCCTGAATTCAGACATGGCAGGGCCACTTCCCACGGCCTGCGTTCTGCAGCACTGCCCTGGGGTGTGAGGGTCAGAACGTTGGTCCTGAGTCCCCATAGCCATCTTAGGTCAAAGGCTGGAGTGATGCCTGTGGATGGGAAGGAGAAGAGTCAGAGTGTGGGGGAACAAAGTAAGAGTCTCTCATGCTGTCCCCGAGAGTGACTCTATAAAGGGGGTCCATGTTAAGAAATGTGTTGACTGGGCCACTGAGATGGCTCAGTCACTAAAAGTACCTCTCATCAAGCCTGGGAACCTGAATTCCATCCTTAGGATTGTATGGTGGAAGTAGAGACTGGATTCCTGCAAGTTGTCTGTCCTCTGACCGCCTCACATGTACCCACAATAAACTTTTTAAAATTCCTTTTAAAAGTTGGACAACTTCTTTAGAAATCTCACTGGGTCTCCTCCAACTCAGTACTCACAGTATGGTCAGGTGAGAGACATGGGGGTGGGAAGGAAGAACAGAGACTTGAACCAGGTTTGTAGGTTATAGATCTCCCCAACATCCAATCTTAGCTCAAGCTTCCCTGAGGCTTAGCTACCCTGGGGTGGTCTACACAGCAGGAGGCAGGAGGCTGGCTGGGAGCTGCGGGGCTGCGATGGCACCTCCGTGTTTGGGGTGTTTTCTGAGTCATGTTATCAAGATAGCAGGCGTTGTTGATTTTACAGACGTGGGTTTACAGAAACACCACACCACCCACCACTTTCTAATCGCATTGTCTTTGCTACTGTCACATTGGCCTCACTGTCACCCACCACCACCAAGCCCGGCATCAGGACCTCAGAGTCCACCCAACAGTGTACACAGAGAAGCTCATGAGCCGCTCTGCAGCCTAGGGAACAAGGACAGCGTTTCTGAAAGGCACTGCCATAGGACCAAAGGGAGGTTCCTGGGGCTGGGAAGACCACTCAGTGGTAAGAGCACTCGCTGCTCTTACAGAGGGCTGTAGGGAATCTGATACCCTCTACTCGACTCAGCGACCTCTAGCACACATGCTTAATGTACACAAACACGTGTACATACATGCACACCCCTGACATGGAGCAGCCCTGGCCTAGGCCCGGACTTGGGGACAAGGCACAGCTGGCCCAGGCTACCTGGATTGCCACTCGCAGGTGCAGAGAGAAAGAAGTCAGAGGTGATCCGGCCCTGTCCAGACTTCTAATACTGTAGTCTGTGTTCGCACAGATCCGGAAACATCCACAGTACGACAGGAGACTCAGTCCAACCCAAGACCCCGTGTTTCTCCTGTGGATGCAGCAGCCCACTTACGGGGGCTTCCTGGATCTGCGTAGGCGAGCTCCGGGACTTGGGGACCAGCTGAGCCCCATGCAGGTCAGGCTTTGCTGAGTTCCAGGCCTGCCTCTCTGTGCCCTGGATGCTCTCGCCCATCAGCCCGGGCTCCACAGTTGGGTGGGAAGTTGGATTCCTTCTCACCCCTCGAGGGTCCAGGCTGGGTGGAGGCCACCGGGGCAGGACTCTTTGCTGGGCATGTGTCTCCGCTGAGCCTGCTCCTGGGCTCCCATCTTCTGGCCTCTGTGGTCCTGGAGGATCCAACCAAGGCACACGTTTGGCCTCCCTCTGGGTTTCACGCATTCCTAGTGGCCCCAACCCAGCCAGCTCCCTGTGTCTCCAGATGGGTCCTAACAGTTCCCAACTGTCTCTAATGGTCACCTGCCAACCCCCAACAGCTCCAACGGTCACCCAGCCCAATCCAGATACCCGCCAGCCTGTCCCCAAAGGCCGGAAGTCAGTTCCTAGCCACACCCCTCTGCTTCCAACCGTCTCGGGCCTGTCTCCAATAGCCCGCAGTCAACTCAGACCCCCGCCCGGGTCCAATTGCCCCGAGTTAACATAAATGGTCCCCAGTGTCCCCCGGTAAATGCAACACCAGTCCAAAAGGCCCCCCTCTTGACTTCAAGGACCCTTGGGTTTCGCTCCAGCACTCCTGACCCATCCCCGCAAGGGTCCTCAATAACCCCCCAACACACACACACACACTCTCTCACACACACACACACACACACACACACACACACACACACACACACACACACACACGGTGCCAGTTAGACCTTAGCCTACCTGCCTTATGGGGCTGGTCTGGCACGTGGGCCCAGAAGCCTCCCCGGAGTTCAGAGTGTGCAGTGACCAGTGAAAAGCCTGGGTTGACCGAGGAGCCGGTTGGCTGAGGGTGACATGGTTTAAGTACCAGGAAGGAATCGGGGAACCCAGTTAGAATCTGGAGCTGAGCTGAGGTGCTTACATACAGCTGAGGGGAAAGGAGAGGCAGAAGCCCCGGAGGAGGCCAGCACACGGGTGACCGCAGCAAGCTCTGGCTGCTGTGGGGACCGAGGAAACAAGACCAGACCGTGGAGGCCGGGAGATTTCAGGGGTGGCTAGATGACCTGGGAAGGAGGGAGGCTGAGTCGCACAAGGGGCGCCTCCTGTACGGGCCCTGGGAACACCACTCACACCTTGAAAGTGCCTCCGAGGAAGGAGACGGCTTCCAGATGCACGTTGAAAACTACCAAGGAAGGAGACTGCGGGCCACAGCTACCCCATGGCCAGGCTCCTCCTGGCCCAGCCTCCACTAGGCCCGAGTTTTAATTTAGTCTCCGTTCCTATTTCTGTACCCTGTTAAAGCAGGAAAAGGAGCCCCAGCCAATCATGTTCACGATGACCTCATCCCCTCCTGGCTGCCTATAAAAGGAGCATGCGCTTGGGGTGGGGGTGGCTGTCCTTTTGTTGTCTGGCTGGCAGACCCCTGCAAGCTGGAATAAACAACGCTCTTGTGGATTGCCTGTGTGGGTGGTGGTCTTTGTTTAGTGGGGTGTTCTGTGGACTCTAACAGGACTTAAAACTTACACCTTAGAAACACATGTGGCTTTGAGGCATGGACCTTAATATTCCTTAAATCAATTTAAGTAGTTAAACTAGCACCTTAACTAAATTAAATTAATTAATCAATTAGTTTAAAAAAATTTTGAGACAGGGTTTCTCTGTGTAGCTTTGGGGCCTTTCCTGGAACTCACTCTGTAGCCCAGGCTGGCCTCAAACTCACAGAGATCCGCCTGCCTCTGCCTCCGAGTGCTGGGATTAAAGGCGTGCGCCACCACCGCCCCGCTAATCTACTGCTATTTCAACCAGCAATTGCAGCCCTGCAGTTACCGGCCTGCTTCTCTAGCAGTGGCTTGGCGGGAATTCTGTTCCCACAGGCACCTGCTCTGTTGCTGCTACTAAAAGTAGCTTTAACTAAATCTCCATTGTTCTATTTATAAAAAAGACTCGAGATTCAAAGGCTGGGGTGAAAACCTGTTGGCCCAGAGAGGCTGGGCCACAGTTAGCTGACCTCCTTGCGGGCATCTCTGAAAGACCTATGCTTCTGCTTCCCCAAACCAGGAAGCTGCGCCACGCCAAGCCCCACCTTACTACTTCCTGTGTCTGTCTCTCCCGGGTGCCCTCTGGTGCTCTGTGGTTCCTTTCTGTCAACTAGTTGCCGACTCAGCCTCCTGACCCAGGTTAATTTTATTTAATTAACGTAAATGCAGACTCGGGGTTCACAGTGTGATCGAATGTCCCCCAACATTACTATGTAGCTCCAGCTGGCCTTGAACTTGCAGACCTCCTGTCTCAGTCTCTTGAGTACCAGAGTTGAGTTGTAGTTGAGTCAGCCTACCATACCTCATCATTTTCTGCCTCCTCTTTAATTCAATTGCATGGCAGCTTTTTTTGGGAGGGGGAGGGGGCTAATATTTGTGGCATTTCTTTATCACTTATTTTAAAAAGTATATGCTTTTCTTATTTTTCTTATTTATTTATTTATTTATTTGGCTTTTTCGAGACAGGGTTTTTCTGTGTAGCTTTGCGCCTTTCCTGGAACTCGCTTTGGAGACCAGGCTGGCCTTGAACTCACAGAGATCCACCTGGCTCTGCCTCCTGAATGCACCACCACCACCTGGCTCTTTTTTTCTTATTTATTTATTTATCTGTTTTTTTGGAGACAGGGTTTTTCTGTCTAGTTTTGGTGCATGTTCTGGATCTTGCTCTGTAGACCAGGCTGGTCTTGAACTCACAGAGATCCACCTGGCTGGGATTATAGGCATGTGCCACCACCACCAGGCTCTTTTTCTTTTTTAAAATAGGCTTCCACTATGTAGCCCTGAATGCCCTGGAACTCACTTCACTATGTAGATCAGGCTGGCTTTGAACTCACAGATATCCATACCTGCCTCTGCCTCCTCAGTGCTGAGATTAGAGGTGTATGCCACCACACCTGACTTAAAAGTTATAGGAACTGATTGTGTGTGTGTGCACAGGTCAGGAGACAACCCCAGGTGCCATTCCTCTGATACCATCCACTTTCTCTAGGTCAGTAGTTCTTAGCTTGTGGGGTGGCAATCCGTTTAGGAGCCAGACCACCCTTTCACAGGGGTCACCTAAGACTATAGGAAAACACAAATATTTATATTATTGTTCATAATAGTGGAAAAATTAGTTATGAAGTAGCAATGAAAATAATTTTATGGTTGGGGGTCACCACAACATGAGGAACTGAATTAAAGGGTCACAGGTTCTCAACTTAGGAAAGTTGAGAACTACTGCTCTAGGTAGTCTACATTTCTCCAAATAGGTTAACTAGACTGACAATCTCTAGGGCTCCTTGCTGTGGGATGGTCTGTATGTCAAATGTGTTGCTCTGATTGGTCAATAAATAAAACACTGATTGGCCAGTAGCCAGGCAGGAAGTATAGGCAGGACTAACAGAGAGGAGAATAGAGAGAACAGGAAGGCGGAGGGAGAGACTGCCAGCTGCCACCATAACAAGCAGCATGTGAAGACACCGGTAGGCCAAGAGCCATGTGGCAAGGTGTAGATTTATAGAAATGGATTAATTTAGGATGTAAAAACTAGATAGCTAGAAGCCTGAGCCATTAGGCCAAACAGTTTAAATAATTTAAGCGTCCGTGTGTTTATTTTATAAGTGGGCTGTTGGACTGCCAGGGCTTGGCGGGACCCAGAGAGAAAACTCCAGCTACAGCTCCTCCTGTTTCTGATTCTCTTGTGTTAGGATTACAAGTGTGGACCACTGTGTCTAGATTTTTTTTGTTATTTTATTTTATTTTGTTTTATTTTATTTTATTTTATTTTATTTTATTTTATTTTGAGACAGGGTTTCTTTGTGTAGCCCTGGCTGTCCTTGAACTCACTCTATAGACCAGGCTAGCCTGTAACTCAGAGATCCACCTGCCTCTGCCTCCCAAGTGCTGGGATTAAAGGTGTGTGCCACCATGCCCGGCTAGAGTTTTTTTTAAAAGATTATATTGTTTGGGTTTGGTTTCCAGCACCTATGTCTGGCTGCCCACACCCATGTGAAACTCCAGCTTCTGGTGATCCAGTCTTCACTTCTGGCCTCCTCAGGTACCTGCACACACTTGGTGCACATGAACCCACACAAGCAAAGTGTTCATACATAAAAATAAATAAGATGAACAAAAAAGAGATTTATACAACAAACGGGAAACACACACACACACACACACACACACACACACACACACCTCATTAAAAATAAGTTCAAACCTACTTGGAGGGAACCTTAGTCCCTGGAACTACCTTGGTGGAGGGGGCTGACAGTCCTGTGCTGTTTTCACACTGCTCCCAAGGGCAAGTGTGCTTTGGGAATTATCCACCACTTAAAGAGCCAATCAGCCAGGCTTGAGACCTAGACGAGAAAGACACATCAATCAACACAGGAAATATGGAAGCACCAGTAAAAGGGTCCAGTCTGAATAACAAGGTCAAGAGGGCTTTGGTATCACAGGCAGAGGTTCCAGTGTGAAAAACTGCATGTTTCTGCATTGCTCCCAGATCGAGGAAGGCTCCTTAAGATCCAGGAAGTAAATACACAAGTCTCAGGAGGTTCCTGAAACTTACAAGATTCACAAGGCCCCTCCCCAAGGTTATACCGTCAGCCATGATTGCTGGACAGTTACTCTCGGACAGGCTGAGCTGTCTGCACATTGTGCTGGGAGCTTCAGAGATGCAGGTTTTGTGGGTTGTTGCCTGTGCTGGGTGATGCAGCTGCTCCGGAGTCACCCATGCGCCTGTACCTCCTCATCTGTACTCTTATAACACTCAGAAATGCTTTAGTTCACTAAACTAGATTGGGCAGAATTTTTTCTCTGTTGTTAGTACCTTACCTAAGTGAATAAATAATGTTTGTTTACATGTCCTGAGGAAAAAAATCACACAACAGCCGTCCTGCTGGTTTTTATTGAGTGCCTGGGTAGAACCCAGAGTGTTGTGTATAGGAAGTAAGCACTGTACCAAAAGTTACATCCTCAACCTTCCTGCTTCCTGGTGGGTTTTGTTGTTTTGTTTTTGAGACAGGGTCTCACTATGTAGCCTGGATGGCCAGGAACTTCTCTGCAGACCAGGCTGGCCCTGAACTCACAGAGACCTCCTGCCCCTGCTTCCTGAGTGCTGGGAAGACAGGTGAGCATCACCTTGCCCAGCTCATCCTGGGTAATTTAATGCAGTGACTAGGAGCAGTTCTGTCACAACATGGAAACCCTCGGAAAGTCAGTGAACTGGAAGGGACACAGGGAACAGATTCTGGGTAGTTTCTTATCTCTGTCAGCATGGCAGTCACCTGCTGTGGGACCTGGTAGGGTGTGGAAACTGTGTTGGTTAATATTACAGCCTTCAGTGGCCATAAGGAAGCTGCAGGGACAATCCAGGAAGAGCCAATGTGTAGTCATTCCATGCCCTTCAACTGTTGGTACTGACTCACTCTGGCCACCAGGGGGCAGTGCAGCCCAGTGGTTGCCAGAACAGACCCTTTCTTACTGGAATTGGTTCTTTTTCCAGTGGCCTTGGTGGAACATGCCTGTAACCACAGTTGAGGCAGAAGGAGTTTCTAGGTTTAATTTTGTGGCTGCTATTAAAACACAGAACAAAACAACAACAACAACAAGAGAGTAAAAGCAACACAGTGGAGAAGGGCTTTATTATTTCAGGTTACTGTCATACTGCGGGGAAACCACAGATGCGGGAGGAGGCAGTGAGCCACAGCGAGTCCACAGTCAAGCTCAGCGAGAAATGAACGCACCCATGCTGCCCGCTGCCGCTTGCTTGCTCACACTCAGCCAGACTGTCCATGATTATGCAACCCAGAACCCCTGCCAGGACCTCGGGCTATCCACAAAGGCTGGTCAATTAGCCGTCCAGACAATCTCCCAGACATGCCCACAGGCCATGATGATCTGGGCAGCCCCTCAACTGAGACTCCCTTCTCAGGTGATTCTTAGTTGTGTCAACTAGACAGCCCAAACTAACATGTATGAGCAAGGGCCGTGAATTAGAGGTCACCTTGAGAGACTGACAAGACCCAGTCTTAAAAATAAAAATAAGGCCAGATGTGGTGGCACACACCTTTAATCCCAACACTTGGGAGGTAAGGTGGGCACATCTCTGTGAATTCGAGGCCAGCCTGGTCTATATAGTGAGTTCCAGGACAGCCAGGGCTACACAGTGAGACCCTGTCACAAACAAACAAACAATAAATAAATGAAACAAAACAAAAACCAAACCAAATCAAAATAGCCCCCCCCCCCCACAGAACAAGTTAACAAAGGAAGAGACAAATGCATTTCCATCCCCCTAACTTTGTGAAGTTTTTGAGGAAGTTTTGGCTGGGGCTAGAAAGC